AATTTTTTAAATGTAGCTCTTGATATGCCACTAGTGAATTACTCATGCCCTGAAATGAATCGTGAGACTTAGCCACTAGACTGACCAGTAATTGCTACTCATATACATTATGGAAATGAGGCTGTGAAATCCTAACCTTAAAGGTAAAACAAATGAGCAAGCGGTCCAACGGCAAGTCCCAAAACAAGCACGAACCATCCTTTCAACTGTAAAATTGACGTGGTTTTAGTACCGTTGGGAGACATGCAACACTAAGCAAAGTTTGGTCATCTTGGTCCAACTGGGTTAAGATGAGCATTTAAGCTGGCAGTTTTCTAAAGTCCTGGTTTGGCATTTAAGTAGGTGCTATTGAATTGTTCTTCGTAAATATTGAATTTAAATGTCTTTTGATCGAGTGGAACAGAAATCACCAAAAATGAGCACGACATAGTAAATGAAAATTACCACTTTTATCCACCTTTAGGAATGACGTGTAAGAATTGAGCATTTGGGTGGGATAATTGAACAAAACTCTAGGTGTTAAGTAACTTGATTTTTAGGTCTACAACAAAAACAAACGTTTCACTCAATCTGGAAATTCGGTGGTTAGATTTAAAAGAAGCAAAACAGTTGAAAAAACAATTGCTCTGTCTTGAAATTCAGGGGTTTGAAACAAAGTTATGGTTAAGGCAATGCACACTGCGGAGTGTTGGTTAAAATTTAGTTTGCTTTGATGGTTGAGGTAAGTTCTTTTTGAGAATAACAACATCAACTAACACTTAGCTGCAGCCAAAATCAGTCATTTAAACAAGAAGTAATGCAAAGGGTTTCATTGTTGGTTAAAGTCATTACTGGGGTAATCCTAGACGTAGACAACGAAGGAAAATGCACATTGCCAATTTTCCCTAACACGTACATGGAGGTGCTTAAATAATGTTGGATTAATGCATTTTCGGCTGACAGTACCACCCTTTTATCGGTTCTGATGGGACTACTTGAAAAATGATGGATATCTTTGACTGATTTTTGTTGCTTGCCTTGTGCGCATTTTGTGTTCAAATTAGGCTAATACTGCTCCCCAATTCTGACAAACCCAGTATAGGTGTGAATTAAACCATTTAAAGCAACTCAAGAAAACGATTACCACGTCTAATTGATTCATTATCAGTTTATGTGTTTAACAAAATCCTTTTTTTAGCAGCCTATTTGAACTGATTGTATGCTTCTTTTAAGGTATCTGTGACTTGCAACCGAGTTGCCTCGAGGAAGGACGTAATCCTCCAGCAAATTGCCACGAGTGGAGCCGATTTTCCTAATTTTCTAGCCAAACTTTAATCTTATTCAAATCTTGGGAAAGACAAACTAGTCAAGCATGGAGCGTGTCACACGAATGGAGTAGAATCCATCGTTGTCAGCTCGTTCGATTTAGCAGTTATAAGTATTTAGATTTTAACCAACAGATTACTTAGTTTAGTACATAACGATGAGTGTGGTTAGGGCCTCCATCGTTTGTTGTCATTCGCTTTGCTGTACACACTCAAAGAGAGGCTATGAGAATGTGCTACTGAAAATAACCGCGACATATAAATTGAGTCAGTTTGCTTAAGAAAAACCAAGGCCTCCTAACGAGATCAATAAAAGTTGCAGCAGAAAAATCACTTTTAAATTAGTGAACTAAATGCGGGTGGAAATAAAAACAACACAAGACTTGTCCGAATGATCTGCCTCTGCTCACAAAACGTAAATAAAGAACTCATTCACCCAGAAAAACTGCATCCCTGCTCAGTAAAGCATCTGGCAGGGCTAAATCTAGACGAGGAGTGCGAGTAAGCTGTGTCCTTATGGATGGCCTAATGGATAATTTGAAGATCATCATGGAAGGTGACAGTGGCGCTTTTTAATCCATGATTGCATTGTGTTTGAATACTGATATCCGTATTAGTGCAAATTTTCTTGTTAATATTACAAGATGAATTTAAAATAGCGATAGATTCAATTGGTATAAACCAGTCAAGGCAAACACTACTCTAGTTGATTGCACGGAAAACTAAGCCCTGTTAACGAATCCGACTTAATATAGTTTAGGACTCATTTGGATCAGGTGCTCGTAATCGGAAGGATTTTGTGAAATTACTTAATACCGACCTCCAATTTTTGCAGCCGTAATAATTGTAAGAATGATTAAATATTTGTGAAACTGAAACCACCAAATTACTTAAACAAGTGTTTTAGATAGTTCTGTCAATTCAAGAATGGGACCACCATATGCGCCCATTGCCGTGTTTCTTTTCAGCTACTTTTGTGTTGACCTTGGTTTTTTCTGCTAGCAACGTTTGTCTCTGCTAACTAACGACATGTAAAGCGGAGTTCTATTGGTCCTGCAAACTTTGAATGGAATAACTGCGAACTATGCAATGGCTGCCACCCTTAGTCTGGAACTACAGAACTAATATGAATTAATAAGGAATACTATGCAGCAAACGCTTCCTGTTATTAACATAATTCACTCATTCATTCATTCTCAATACACGCTCTCATAGTGGTCTATGAGAGAACAACTACTGGAGCCTAGATGATTCAAAATTTAATCGAGAGTTAAGAGTCGCAGAAAATCTCCATGAGTCTGTTTAATTTAGGCCATATGCTTCCTATTATAAATTAACCATTCGGAATCAATCGCATAATATTGCTATGCCTCTTTTATATTTGCCAACCTGCATTCTTTGCTGAAGCAAAACATGCATGCACCCAAATTAAGGATGCAAACCTGTGATAGCCCAGCCTTTTTGTATTTCCGAACACCTTTTCGTGCATGTTGCTCCGAAAACAAGTTTTTATAACCCTTGCTATTACTATTTTATTAGGATTAGTTCTGGTACACGCTCCTGATTACCTCAATAATTCACCAAGAGATCAGCAAAAGGCTTTTAGTCGAGCATGGCAGGACTGCGCAGGCATTAGAATTGGCGAGCTACTCGCTTCCCCTCATCGGGAATTCGGATCCGATCTGTTCGACTTTAAACCTTCCAGAGCTTCTAGCAGGTGTACGACTTAATTTTTGCGGATTTTTTCTTCGAGTTTAAATTTATAATCTCGCAGTCTTTTGTGATTTGTAAGGATCGGACACAAGGTTTCAGAAGACTGAACGACAAATCTACGCTATTTTCATAACCTCTCAGACTACACTGCATTGATTCCAACATGAAAGAATGCTTCAAAAACGAAGGAATCATTTTTTTATGTTTTCTGGGCAAACATTGCGTCTCCGGAAACGTGTAATAATGGTTTTAACGTTTTAGAAGTGGTTATTTCGACCTAAGTGATCAGCCGCGCCCCGGACAGCAACATTAAACACAAAGTATACTAAATTTAGGATTCGAATTCAATAAATTTTTTCCATACACGCAAAGTTGCAGTGTTAAATTTAAATTACAGTATTCGATACCTTTTTAAGCCTATTCGGACATGATATTTAAATATACACCACCGAATTTACCTACTACCTGAAACATTGTTGAGTTTCAATGTACTTGTAAACTTCCTTTACATCTTTCTCTGTACAAAAATGCATGGGTGTGGAAATACGTCGCTAAGATGGGCAGAACCTTGCAAATAGCTTTTAGCAAAATGCCATGTTTAAATTGTTTTTCCGGAGTAAATTTGCGCTGTTAGTTTTCGCAAAAGCGTTTTCTGGCACCGGAATTCGGCCCCCTTCATCCCCCACCAGAGGTACCACGTTCCAGACACACAAACGACAAATGTCCGGCTAAAAACTTTGTTACCTTGTTCAAATCAAACCCGATTGAAGTTTCAAATTATACCCATGTAGGATAAGCAACCATTATATGATTGGGAAAAAACACTACTTTCCGTGCGTCCACTTATTTCAATGCGTAAAACCAAAAAAACATTATGGTTTGATTAAAGTACAGTTCATTAAAACATGTTGTGTTGACCCACTTCATGCCTTAGGAATCAGAGCAGGCAGCTAGAAATTGTTGGACCTAAAGGCACTGCTGAATGACAAATTTTTGCTTTACGTTTGCATAAACGGTCTTGACGCCAAGATGTTCACGTAGTTTAATTGTCTAATAGATGAAAAATTCAACACTTTTGTCTTCGTCGGCAAACAGGTAAAAACCCAGGTTTTTTCCCACCTGGAACATGCCTGATTAACCGTTCGGTGCTAATAACTGTGCGTGTAAAGGAAGAAGAAACTGTGGTTAGTAGAAATCTAGGCACCAACTATTCTTAAATGATAGTGTTTTGGCCAAAGTAATCCTAGCCAATCATATTTCCGCTTTCTTTGATATTGAATTATTTCTTCTAGGACTCTCAGAAATACACGAAATATGCGCAAATTTTTAGATGGTGTCAGTCGAAATTTATCAACCTTACTGAAGACTCAGAGTTGATCTAACAGGCAGATAAATGTGCCTGTACTGTTTTCTTTTCATGCCCTTGATCAGGTTCAGTTTCAAAATTGTGCATTTAAATTTGGAGTAGTCTTTTCCATTCATCAAATTAATCTTAATTAAGATAGATTTGAGGTGAATGAGCAATGAACCATTTCAAGCGTGTTAACATCTTCCAGACCATGCCAAAATGCTGCACGTTTAACAGATCTCAATACCCTGGTTGTAAGGATATCTTTTACACCATTACTGTTATGGGACGCCTACTTGAGTGCGTTTGTGAGATAAAGAGGAACAACTTTCTAAGCCCAATTAATGGGAAACTTGGAAAAAGATAACTTGAAAGGTACTAACTTGAATTCCGATTTGAGCCTTTTTGTGAGAGTTTTGCAAACGAATTAAATGATTTCTAATAATAACCTGGAAAGTTTAATTTCAAGTCCACCTGCTTCAGTTTTCACAAATCACTTTGATGTGTTATGTAAAATTATGGAGAACAAGGCAAATTTTATAAATATAAGGTTTATAATAACCATGCCTAAAATTTACAAAGTATACATGCACATAAAACCACAACTTGGTCTGTATAATCAACATTGCTTTGTGTCAGCTGCTTTGGGCAGCTGAAATGGCCTCAGTTTCGCCTTTGCCACCACGATCCCGTCTTCGGTTGCTGTTGCATCGTAGGAAACGAAAACACGATAGGAAGCCCTTAGAATCCGTGGTGTCGCCAACGAGAGTCATGTTCTGCCGCGTTTCCATGCGAAGCAACTCTTGGAAGACTTCTTTCACGTTAACATTTTCCTTTGCTGAGGTCTCCATAAAACCGCACTTCCATTTTCGAGCCAACGCCTCACCCTCCGCTGTGGAGACTTCACGTGAGTCCTCGGCCTCGTCTGATTTGTTGCCTACCAGCATGATGGGGATCACTTGCATGTCTGCGGCACCCTTGATCCGCAACAGCTCCTCGTAGATGGGCTCTAGCTCATCGAGGGAAGCACGACTGGTTATGGAGTAGATCAGCATGAAGGCGTGACCTTTAGAGATGCTAAGACGTTGCATTGCTGGAAATTGGTGGCTGCCTGTGGTGTCTGTGATCTGCAGGGTGCATACCTGCTTATTACAGCTAATGACCTATAAATAAAACATCAGTTATGAAAAGCTCTTGCATATTTAACGCAAGGGTACTCTTAAGACAAGAAACGAAACATTTTTGCTTCAAATAGGATTCATGATAAGAGAACACATTATTAAAGAGTATTTAATACGTCAAATACGTCCGTGTGTTTCTACTTGAGCGCGGACCATCAGCATTGTAGATAGGGTCCTCATGCCGACACTAAAATGAATCTATTCAGATGGTTTAGAAAATGAGAAAATCTGTGGATGGTCATTTTGAAAAAGCCACCGTTTGAAAAAAACTCAGAAAGGTGGACTCAAAACCGAAGGGTCAACTTTAAGTACACTAAGCTTCACCGGCTTCATTTGAGGCGACAGCTGAGAGATGTTCACCTAGCAGTTGGTTAAGGCTTCTCAAGTGAGCGAGTCTGGCCAAAAGTACAAAACCACCTCCAGTAGAATTTTTGCAAATTTTTCTGTTTTGCAGGTTCCTTTTAAGCGTCACCGGTGTGATTTTCTTATTTTATTAGCAGCATTGTTTTTTTTAAAAAACGAAACATGAAATAATGGAAGAAATTCACTGATACCACTGCACCCTTCAATACTCGGGTTGAAGAGTAAAAGTGAAATTTAATTTGAAAATTTATCACCCGTCCTTAAGAACTCCTTCTATGTGTGGCGTCAAAATCATTTTTCGTTCACTGGCTTTTTCACTTGAAGGTAGTCGTCTACCAAGATTTTGAATTAGCTAAACAGCCGCCCTTCCAAAAGCTATAACGCATTCTATTTCATCAAAGCGCATTACGTGAACACATGAAGCAAATCTTCGCATTACCTTAACATCGCACCCACAATGAAGAGAAGTCAGTTAAAACTTTATTTGATTTAAATGACTTATTTTATGAGGCAGAGGTTTCATTCAACTGCAGTCTAAATCCGACCAAAATTGACTTAAGGATAAACTAGTGTGCTTCAGCATAATGCTGGACATGTTTAACCACTTAGGGATTCTAGACACTGAGTATACTAAATTTGTAATACCTATCTAAGTGTTAAATTTGTCGATACCGTCTAACCGCAAATTAAAAGCACTTCGTTTTTGCAGGGATAGATATCACACCATCGACAAGTTGTTAATTTTTATCAGCTTTGTCCAGAATTTCATAACAAATTTCTCTCTTTGTTTATCTACAAATGCTTTTGATAAAATTGAATGGAAACCAGGTCATTTATGGAAGTTTCCACTAAAGTAGCCCCCATTGATGCAAATTTTATTGGTGCTTTGAAAGGTTAATTTATTCAAATCAGCAGTAATATATCTGTGTATTTTTATATATTAGTTAATTCCAGAGCAACAAAACTGTTGCGTTCTGCGTGTTGAATCAGGAAATCCTCAGCGTCCGGAAATTGCCTGCAGCTTTTTTGCGAAGTTCAACAAACTGCAGATAGCAGGTTGGTCACTTTATGCTTTGTTGTGTGTTTTGGATTGTTTTTAGAGGCTTCAATCTTCAGACCAGGTATTTACACAATTGTTTCCTTTATAAAATCACTTCGTGAAAGCACTTATTTTTAAGTCGTGCCGTATCCACGTGATGCCCAAACAACGCACAATGTTTGCTTCATATTCTCAAAAATTTGCTGTAAAATTTCACCGAAGAGTTAGTTGAAAAAATCATTGCCTCTTGGTTTCTCTAAAAAAAAACTCAATGGTGGCACGTTGTGTTCTAACTTCATCAATAACAGTAAGATTTTATTACTGGAATGCAAAATTTTGAAAAAAAGCCTATAGACTTAAAATTGTTTAGAAGTAGATAGTTAAATAGGAAGATGTGTAAATGGGGTTTATTATCGCATTAACCGTGTCCATTTCAGACCAATTTTTTGCTTCTACGATTAAAAATGCTAACTAGAGTAAAGCATTACGCATCGGGAATACCGTCATTTGAATTTTCACACAGCAACACCGCAAGCACTATTTAGCAATATTTAAAAGCTACGCATCATTGTATTTTATTATAATGCCTACGTCTTCACGATGCTGACGGTGGTTTCACGAATTAGTACTATGATTTATTATACAGGTTTTCAACCAAGGAAATTTTCGCCCAGAGTGGAGAGTCATCAGCCAAAGCATTTAATGTGCTTCTTAAAGCAAAGGAAAGTTTTCATATTTATCGAACGCTTTCCTGCTTACGTCACATGCTTTCAGTGAAGGAAATGCAAATTTAATGGCAAGATTCAAAATAAAATTTTAACGGTTTAATGATAAGAAGAGTCCTAAAAATAATGACCGCAAAAAACTTTGCTAAGTAGATTTTGAATTTGCCTTTACACAGAAGGCGGTTTTCCGTAATTTCCACATTGGACACCTAATTTACTATCAAGAGCCAGGCACAAATCGCCCTATGTAACTCTCTTTCGCACGACTTGCGACACCGTCAAACGCATCCTTCCAAAATATCAGACAATACCCAAGGAAGTTCTAGTCAAAGCATCGGTCATACCACAGTCCATTTTAATACACGGCCCTTTTATGATTTTCATCAGGTTCTTAAATTTCTGAAGGATCGTGAAAAAACTCGTGCCGATGAAGTGAATGGTCTTCCATTAAGGTTAACACGCAAGAACTGCATTTGTCTTACTAAAAACACTCCACACTCAATGGACTGACAGTTTTTCCAATTATTGGCTAATGCTTATAATTCATTTTCATCAGCTCCGATTTAAACAATTTAATTGACGCATTGGTGATCTGGTTTTGTCTCTTTATTGAAAGTAAAGATATTAGATTCGACTAACAAATTTTCTACCAACCTCCTGAAGGCTGATGACATTTTTAGATGCGTAAGGAGTCATTTGACATGACTTTTGTTCATATGGCGTAACGAGGTATTTTTATCTTGCCATGGATATGATTCAAATTAACCACCTGTACAGAGCCTGCACAGTATGCCGTTCAGACAAGTTTTGCATCGTGCAAATTTTTGTAGACTGCATCCTCGCACTAAAGACTATCACGATTCATCTATATGTTTTTTAAAATTAGATATCTGGAACTAAATTACAACCAGTTAGCATTAAGCATAATAGCATTCATCGTTGCGAATCGGCTTCCTCTATAAAAAGGGTAATGTGATACTGTTATGAAGAGCTCAGGAAATAAGACAGTGCATTCACTTTAACTCTCGGGACTATACTTATTTGACAAAAAATTGTGTGGACTTGAGTCCAACACAAAAGGCAAACATTACTGCATTATTTGATGCTCAATGAATCCTCATAATTCAAGCTCCTGAATGCGTGATCGCCGTCAGAGTCGAGTAAACCCAATTATGTAGCCAATGTCTGTAACAAAATTTTGATTTGCTCTCATTAGAATAATCAAAAAATATAACGATAATGTTTGACTAAAAGCAGCTTACACAACTGAACATGCCAGGAAGAGACAGCGTTAACAGACAATGAAGGTGTTAATTAAATCGACATCTGTTTCTTAATTTGTTAGGACATTTCACTTTAGTAGAACTGTCACAAAATTTTTAAAAAGCTATGCGCTCGCTTAAAACCAAAGAGCATTTTCAAATCGATCCCAAAAAATTACCCCGCTCATGTCGACGCTTTGCGAATGCTTCTATAGAGCAGCATTTACCCTGCAGTTCAAGTATCCGATTCAACAATCTGGAATTATTGTGAGCAAAACGCCTTAAACAACAACTTTGAAAGCTTCCAAATTAGCGATTTCAAGAAAGGTGACACAGGCTTTTTGAAGACTAGCAGAACCTCCTGGCTGTGCGGTCATGTTATAAGTTTAAGTAATTTCATAATGAAGCATACATGGACACAATCGGGTGCGAAATGTCACTTTGGTCAGAAAGGAAATTTTTGACAATTTTCTTCCAAGCTATTTAAAGGACAGTATTTTTAGTTTGCGTTGTTTAGGCAATAGCAATTATAAGTCAGTGATTTGGAACAGCACTCTGCTTTGGCATTTCTGGGTGAGTGATTTCGCACTAAGTACATCTAACTGCCTTGTGTTTTAACATTATCAAACTGGCCACAAGTTCGGTACCAGCAATAAAAGGAGCTGCTGCACGCAAATGCTGAGGGCACGTACTTGGCGAAAGGTGTCTTCTATCGTAGGAACGTAGGCCTCCCTGAATGTGTCCTTTACGAAACGAAGAACAAGCGAGCTTTTCCCCACTCCGCTCGCGCCAAACACTGCAACTCGATAGTCGTTGGGCTGTTCTGGCATGTTTTCACTGTTAATAATTAAAACAGCACATTCAGTTGTGAGGTGAAATAGAAAGGTCTGCATTACCAATAATTTGGCATACAAATGCATTGGATGCTGACTTGGAGGCATTAAATATAGCTTAGTGATGATTAAAAGACTGGGCTCTGTCAACTCATAATAATCCTTGATGAGTTCCTATTTTAAACTCGAAGACAGCATTTCTCGCTAGCATCTTAATCTCATTAAAGGATCTAAAATAAAACCAAGATTACGAACATGCAATTTGTGCTAATATTCCAAAAGTCCAGAAAATTTTATAACTGGTATTTTACTTTTGAGAAATTAATTTTCCGTAAATTTCGCGGTTTGAACTAGTATTAGTATTTCGGAATTAAACTAGTCCTAACTAAAACAATTATCACGTTTAACATAAAATAGCCGAAATGATAATTGGTGTTGCGAATGCAAGACATACTGTTACTGCATTTAATTTGCTTTAGATGTTAAAAAAAGCGATTCTCGACCACATACTTGTCTGGTTGCCCACCTTCAAACAATTTGGTTATATTGCTCACAATGTCAAGTTGTTATTTAAAACATTCAGTCTTTCTTAAGTAACCTTCGTTTGAATTATTGCGCAAAAAGTGACTTAAAATGCACTTAATTCCAATATACACTGAGTTGAGCCTTTGACATCTTCGAGTAGGTTTTTTTTCTCGCAAAGTAATAAGCTGAATGCGTTAGAGAGAATAAAAATAGCGCTGTTAATAATGCATGTACACTTTTAGAAGTAACGGTAGCAGCATAACTTGTTTCGTCTTATTATCAGGTCACAAAAACGAACTAGGTTCCCCCTGTCACTAGTTGTCCTTGTAAAAACATAAACAATATAGTCATGTTTGTCATTTTTCAGGTACATAAAAACACTTAAAAGGTTGGGTTAAGTTGTTTTTTCTAAAAATATGTTGTCCTATGAACTGATTTTTAGAAATCAGTATGAGTATGCAGAAGCCTAAGTTTACTTTGCATCACGCAAAATCGGTTTTGTGTTTAAAATTGGCATTGTACTTTAACGAGGTCATGTGCATCAAGGCAAACACATTAACCCCAAAGTAATGCTTTACTTTTTCGATTCTAGAGTCTGCTTAACTGTAGCACCTGCTTTAGTACCTTAAAATTTCCAAATATTCTAAAAAATCTCTATGAATACAAACAAAGAAACACGAAGGATAGTTCCACAAATACACACATTACGATCCTATTCGAACTATAAAGAAACAATTTAAGTAGTGTTTAATAACAACGTTTGAGATGCAAATAAACTAAGTGTTTTTTGTCACTATATAGAGCTAGTTCGAAAGTGATTATAATGTTTGAGTGACGATTTAAAGTGGGATTTAAGGCTAGAGGCAAATATTAAAGTCCAAGTAGAATTAATCTTCCTCACACTTAAATGAAACTCTTCTCAATTGTTTCTGCAAGGAGAAAATATTGCTTCCTTTTGACATCTTGTGTCTTGTCATTACGTAAAATTTTATAAAAGATAATTATGGACCTTCTTGAATTGTGACAGCCATCAGTGATGCAATGCAATTTTGAATAGCAGTGGCATTTATGATTTTACTGCACTTCAAAGCTAATGAAAAAGAGCCATCTGAGCAAGCAGGATAAAAACATAGTTGGTACACTCATAACCCAAAATATATTTGTTAAGTAATACCACAACGTGCTTCTTTAAGAAGTTCTGGTTTACAAGAACCTACCATTTAATTTATCCGACCTGCATTACAAGATATGAGTCAGAAATTAAAATGATTTCAGCTTAAAATCAAACTGCCAGGAAATTACATCAATGCCGTCAGCAAAAAACCAACTGTCACTGTCCATACAAGCAGGCTTACTTTAAAATTTGGTAGTACAATATAGTCAAGTCCAAATCATGCGTGTCTTAATTTTCGAAGGCAGCAAATAGTTTTTTTTCTTTACTGGGTGTTGCCTCATTTGACCAATTTTTTTGTTATTAGCATAAAAAGTATATTAACTCATTACGTTTCCTGTTCTTTGATATTTAGACAGTGTTTAAGACAAATTTGTGCTGCATGTGAGAGCACTTTCGTTTAAGATTTTTGGTTCAATGTACAAAATAATTATTGCAATTTATGCTATTTGCTTTAACATGAAACTAAAACAGAAAAAGTATATTAGATTTAAGAATCTCAAAATATGTACTACAAACCAATACAAGTAAAACTCATTGGTGCTGCGTAAGTATTATGAACTAGCGAATCCCTATAAAGATGATGACTACTCCGGTTTCGCTCTTAAACTGTTGAGAGTTTGATAGTTCAATTAATTGGAAGTGAGATGGTTTCACACCAAATTAAACTAAATTAATTTTTAAACTGCAGTTTTGGGATTCTCGTAAGTAAAAGCATACAAATATCGGCCTTCCAAATATAATATTAAGGAAGCAGTCCAGCAAATTTAAAACGAAATGCAATATAAGTAACCCAGGTTCTTAAGGCTCAAAAGGATAACTTGATGCGAAAACTGAGAATAAATGATTATCGGTAAATGGCTGCATGCAATAACCTGGATACTTAGTTTAAAACATCAACAAACCTTTGAACAAAATATATATTAGTAAGGAATCATTGTTGCGAATTCCACGATGTAAATGGAAAAAATACTTGAACAAGTCAGAGTTTCCAGAGTCTCTTAACTCTGCTCGTCACTTTCTCCAACTTAAACTCATAGCCAGCCAATCAGGAATATCCTGTTTAGCCAATGGCAGCGCATTAATTTTAAAATACTAAGGCAAAGAGCCATAGATGTAAGATTCCAATGTCTAAGACAATTGTTTCGATGAAATAAAGTATTTCAAGACATATTACCCATTGCTGGCATGTCAGAATATAAAGCGCGTTAATACCTGGAAAGACAGCAGCCAACTAAAAAAGAAGTGGCAAGGTAAGCTGAAAAACGGCGCAGTAAACGTTGATTTAGAGTTACAGGAAATTAAAGTATCACAGTACAGCGCGTAAAATTCTATTAAGACGTAAACTCTGCCGTGTAAAATTTTAGTGATTCACGCCTAAGCAAATTATTTACGCAAACCTGGACCACTTTATTACAAAGAAAACATTCATTTCTTACGCATTTGATTTGTGATTCATATTAGACACATTCTAGTTGAAACGTGTATAAGACCTTTTCCGACTATTTGTTTAACTACAGAGTCGTACTGTCACCAATATCCTTTACTACCGAATGATTTGATCTTCGATTTGCTGCAGACTAATACAATCCACTTGTAAGCTACATGTGTAATTAACAGTAAGTACATTATGCGCGTCATAAATGATTCTATTTCCATTTTATTGAGACTTTCACATTTAATGTGGCTGGTGATTTTGCCTTGAATTTCATAATTTCCACTTAGTAATTAAAATCATTAATATTTATTTACAAACAGGAATATTGTTACGCAACCCCAATAAACTACAATTAGTTGAGATGCGATAAGGTGCCTCTCTTAGAAACCATTTTTTTATTATCATAAAAAGGCATTTTTATTGAAAATTTTAGCAAAAATGTTTAATGAAAAAATGCACTAGTTTTGTGTATAAGTAGGTCTGTTTACTCAAGGAAGGAAAACAAAATGCATAATTGACAGATTTTCGTGGCCAGCATCCTCATTTATTGAACTGTCATAATCAATGGATAAAATACCATTTAGCACGTCCGATGCCAAATGTCCAAACTAACATTAAAGTTGTTTAGTAGATTCGACTCAAGGGCAGATTACAAACAGGGTCAGTATAAAGTGAAATGCTGTGAAATGTGTTGTTAGGTGCCTGAATTCTGTTGTAAAGAAGTCGTGATAACTGTGCTGTCCGCAATTTTTATCGTTTTATCTCAGGTTCACTGTTGACAAGCATCTCATTTTTTATCATTGCAAGAGGTAAGTGCGTTCAAGTGGATGTGGGGTGCTGCTAAAGTGAGATACTGCAAAAACAAACTACTTTAATATCATTGTTATGTAATATAAAAATTGTCCTCAGTAGGGCAGATAAAAGGCCGAATACGCGATATTTTGTTTTGCTCACGACCAAATATTTTGCCTTCAATCGTTTATATTTTATAGCATCCACTACTTTAATGCATATGTTGGCACTAATAACAAAACTAGCATGCATCACGAATTTAGGCATTATAAGAGAATTTACTGCAAGACTTCTGAATCACTTCGGCAAGAAAATTTGACTTCCGTGACTGCCTAAATAAAAGTATTCCTATAGGGTTTTCAGTTCTCCAGTAAGATGTTATGATTACTTTAAGGTTCTAATACTGGGAAAGCAGGGAATAATGCGGCAGATTTTGAGTTTAATACGTGTCATTAGATCACGAAAACCCTGAGTAAGTGTACTGATGCCCTGCAAGTCATATTCTAAAATGACGAGATTTTAAAGCAAGTACGGAGGCGTTGGACCTTAAAGTTATAAATCTCCAACAAACATGGAGAAGTCCTTTAAATATTTCAAGCTGGAAAGTTCTATTAAATTGACTTAAATATTAAACGGTGTTAGCAAGACAGAGAACTGCATGTTTGGCGTGTTTCAATGAACTCAAGAGTAGCATTCCTTGCGGTCTTCGATTCCCACCTAAAGTGATTGAAAGTTATATTTCAGCTAAAAGATGAACTCAATTTTTTGAGTAGAAACTTTATGCCAACTACTGCCAAGGTAGCATTTTTGATGTCTTTACATTTTTCGTTTCCTTACACCCGGAAAAGCAGAGTATATCAAGGTCTCAGCAGTACCGCCAACGCCAGGTATTAAAGGCAAAAACTGAGGTAGCATCCCAAGCTCATAAATGATTTCTATCCACCAAACGTCATTGTAATATTTGATTCTTGACTAGAGAAATCAAGGTGACGATGTCAGATTTATGCAGGGATATTGAAATTAGTAACCAATGGACTTGAATTTATGGCAACTCAACCCGACCAAGCCATGATTTCTTGAAATGGGGATGTGGAGATTGGACTACAGAGAGCAGGTGCACGGCGATTATCGTGT